CCAATTTAAAAATAAATGGTTCTGCCATTAACAGTGGACATTTCTCATTAAGTAAATGTAGTGAATAGAAGGGCACTTGCTGCAGCAATATGTTGTTACAACAAAAGGTAGTCAATTAAGAGATTTAAAATATTTTCCTATGCAACCAATGTGTTAGCTGAATGTTTTACTTTGGTCACATTATTCAATTTCTCTGTAACTTAGTTTATTTTATTATACTATGGATGACTAACTAGATTTGACTAGTTCTAAATCAGAGGCAAAAAAACAAAACAAAACCCAACTACTCTAAAGATCTCAGGGCAGTGGAATTGTTCTCAAGAGAACATTTTGTTGGAAAGGTTCTTTATGACATGTACATCTCCTTTGACAGTAATTTTACCACATAAACTACACCCACAGAGAGGGTAGAGGGGAAAGAATAAGCTTTGATCAGAACTGACTGTAAATACGTTTTTCAGAGTGAATAGCTTGACTGGAATTGTTTCAAGCTGAATAGTTTGATCATTAACAATTCTGAATAGGGAGCTTACTAATCATTTATTTTTAGGGTTGTCAGAATGGCAATCTTAAAACTTTTTCCCTTCAAAGTTGCTGACTGGCCACTGAGGCACAGACAGAGCTTGGAAGTAACTGGTTTCAAATAACTATCCAGCTACTTATCCTTGGAATGTCCTCGAGAGGTCTCTCACTCAGTTATATATAAAGCAATGTTGCCGACTGATGAGTTCTGGATATTATTGTATTGATGTTTCACTTTTGTTGTTTTAATTACTGTAATTTTAATCTGTACTAGTTTAATACTGTTTAAAGGGGGGGAGGGTTTGTATTGGAATTTTAACATGTTATTAGCCGCCCCGATTATTCTCAGAGCGGCAGGGTATAAATAATAATAATAATAATAATAATAATAAACTAGTTTACTAAATTAATTCATTTTGCTAATAATGAAAGGGCAGGATTCTCTATGATGGTTTACGTTACCCTATAGCCCTGTGACAGAGATGCTAACAAATCTTGTTAGTGAATTATGAAGATGCAAAGATGCTTAACAGGACACCAGCAAGAGTGTCCCAATGTGCATTGGAAAATGCTGATGCACATTGGCACTCCTAACTGGTGTTCCGATGCACGGTGGCCATTTTGCTGGCTCCCCTATGTAGCAATCCAACAGCAGCCACTGGCTGAACATAGACATTGCGAAACTATTCAGTTCTATTTCTTGCAGATGTAAGCCCACTTAGAAAGACATAAGACCCCAATAAATTCTGGCCGAAGTATAACTAAGGGAGAAAACAACCAGATGCATCCATTCCAACGCATCCTGGGATTTTCTTTAAAGCTACACTGCATAATTATCGCTTAATTACAGTTCTCTTACCCAAACACAACTTATTTATTCCCATGCTTCATACAGTACCTTGAAACCCCACTCCCACACTGCTATTTTGGGGAAAAGCCCACCTTGGCTCTCCCAGCTTTACTCCACCCTTTCCCTGTCTCCAGTATCCCCAGCTCCCCCTCCACCACCACTCAATAGTGAGAAAGGGAAAACTAAATACATGGCCAAAGTTTCAATGGAAGGGGAGATGATGGACAGAAGTGGCAACCTAGGTAGCTAGGATGTTATCAACAGAACAGCATTTTCTGCATAGAAAAAAAGTCTCCTGCACGGAAAACAATATATCTTGCAAAGATAACAGCATTTTTGCACAGCAAATGCAGATTTCTGCACAAAGCATGTTTTTTTTTTTTCATATAGTCAGTCCCAATGTGTGAAAAGTCTTCAAAAATGGGCAGCAAAGAAAAATGGTAAAAAAATTCATTCTTGTTCGGTAGAACAAAATTTGCAAAGATTTAGAAAACAGCTGAGTCAATGAACAATATCATAAGATCCAAGTACTAACTTCTCTCCCCATGTTTCTTGGCTAGCCCAGCCACCACCATGTTACCAAGTGAGCATCAATCTTTACAGAAAAAGTGCTTCAAGGATTCTATATTAGCAAGACCCCAAACACAACAGAAACTAAAGCAGTCATGCAGTTGATGCCAAAAGGGGTGGGGGAGCAAAGGTAACATGCCAGAAATAATAAGTGGGTTGTTTCCAAACACAGGGGCAGGGGAAGATGAAGTTAAGGAGGCAAGGAATAGCACTACACCAATGAATCAGAAGCTATAGCAAAACTATAAAATAAAGGGTGTCATAACAAACAGAAGAAAGACCTCTCTTCAGTCCCCATCTTAACATCTAAAGAGAGTGGGGCTACCTGAGCTAGGAATAACAGTAGCAGGAGGAATAGCAGGAGAGGGAGAGGAAAATTATCTCAATTTTTATTGGAGAACTTAAGATCTAAAACCAAAAACTCCTGGAAAAGGGATGGGGAATGGAGCAGGGAAGGAAGGATATTCCTATCATGTCATTACTACCATCATGGAAAGTATACCTCTGCTAAACTGAAAGATTGTACCATCATTATGCATGCCATCAAACAGATCCTGCAGTGTCCTGCAGCACTCCCAAATATTGTATATATATTTTTTCCAATATGAAAAAACTTTTATTAATATGGAGAATTATCTGAGACAGGATTAATAATCTCAGACAGGCTGTGTGTTGTCTCGGGGGGGGGGGGTACTGAAAGTTACTGCTCAAAATGTTGCTCTACAGCAGCATACACCTCTGCCTGTTTTTCCTCAATTTACATTACAATTGTAGTTTAATGAGGGGGAACTTCACTCCTCTGGTGCAACTGCTATCTCAATATATGGTGAAGGAAGAATATCCCATGGTTCAAGTACTGGCCTGTGCTGTGTTTCATGCTCTGTTGTTGGTGTTGAAGGAACAGCAAGGTGGACAGCCTATTTTGTATGAGTACCCAACCACCTGTAGCATTTGGACTGTTTTTTAGTGTTACCAAAAGTAGTAATTTCAGTTACTTTGGGGAAAGTAAGGTAACTACTTTTGGAGCAACTAGTACCATAACTTAACTAATTATTTTTTAAAGCAGGGGTCGGCAACATTTTCCTACCTGGGGCCGGTCACTGGTCCCCAGGTCTTCCGCCGGACCGAGGGGGGAGGGAAATGGCACCACGGGCACACTCACTCGCGCATGCACAGTACTTCCAGAGTACTGCGCATGCATGAGTGAGTTGCGGCCACCATTTTGGAAAACAAAATGGCAGCCGTGACTCGTCTGCACATGCACAGTACTCGGTGCATGTGTGAGTAGTTGCGGCCACAATTTTGTTTTCCAAAATGGCGGCCGCAGCTCATTCGTGCATGCACAAACGAGTCACGGCCGCCATTTTGTAAAACAAAATTGCGGCCCCGACGCGTGCGGCGGCAGCGGCAGGAGGACCGGCCTGGGGCCGCTCCAAAGGCCTTGGGGGGCCGGGTCCAGCCCCCGGGCTGTGGGTTACCAACCCCTGCTTTAAAGCAACCTTACAAATTCTGGTCACAGGATGAAAGTTGCGACATGGCCATCACTGTTAAGTGGCAATTAAAGAAGGCTCCCTGTTTTGTTTTTTTTACCAGCAAGCCTTGAGAAACAGCATTTGAGGCAGAAGTGGCTGGATCAGGATTATCATACAGCTGCTGACTTAGCCTTCTGAGGTCATTTTCTTCTGCTTATACAGACCTATATTGGGCAGATGTCCAGAGCAGTGATATTTCATGGTGATGAACTTAGGCCACAAGACTGTTGGTCAGCCTATGTCAGGGTAGGTAAAGGTTGGCCCTGGCAAAATATGAGCTAGCTCAGTAGCTGGGATAAAACAACTTTGAGCACCATGGTGAAGGAATAGGTGGTTCCTATGCTCTCTGGGAGCTCCCAAGGCAGTTTTCTCTGGTGACAGAGATAGCGTCCTTCTCTGCCCTGACTCCACTTCAAAGGTGACTTACACTGGCATAATACAGCATTCCAATGGAAGTCACCAAAAGGAGTCTGGCCTTAGTCTTTGATACCAGGTACTACCCCTGTTAGTTATCACTGACAATACTAATCTAGATTGGGGTGGGGAGCCTGTTGCTCTGCAGATGTTTTTTACAACTGTTATGGCACTATACAACAGAGCTGATTGTGAGAGATGTCGAAAGTTATAGTCGCAAAAACATCATCAGCTCTGGGCTAGAACAAAGAATCGCCAGCTTGACATAACTCAACTTCCTATGTTCCTATATGAATGACGAGGAAATTTACCCAGCATTGCGTAAGTTGATGTTGGTGAATTTGCTTATGATTTGAATTAAATAAAAGAATGAGTGGCAGAACATACAATCCTTTAAACCTATTTCACACCAACAAAATGTAAAATGGACCAAAGTTAGCAATTGCCTGGGGCAAAAGCCAAGCCATGAGTCCAGAACTGACACAAACTAATATCAGATACTAACCTTATCTAAATCTAACTACAGAGTTTGGTCAAAATTGGTTTTTAATGTTTTCTGGGGAAATACAGAAATCTAAAGTGTTTGGGGGTACAGTACCCCCCAAATGGATACTGTAATCTTTGTTTTGGTACCACTGGTTTCAAGCATTTATAACACTTAATGCCTCCACTCCACATACTGTATGAAAAACAAAGGACAGGAACTGCCCTGAGAAATGATGTGTGCTTGGTTGCCAATACACTCAGCTCTCTGGTCATAGTTATGGTATTCATTACTATTTGGTTGCTGCCCCCTAGAACCAGCAGTTGCTGCATGAAGATAATAAGTGAAGCATAAAAAATTATGTTTTCCAGTTTGTGGGAGAAAAGGAGATGAGTAAAAGCTTCAGTCTTGGCTCCCAAACATCAAAAGGAGTTTGTTGCTCAAGTTTAATATCTCATTGTTAAATGAGGGGTGAAAATCATGGCTCAAAAATAAGTAGCAGACATCATGCTCCTGCCCCTACCTGCATACTCTTTAAACCAAAAGTCAAACAGCCTCTGTCTCTATTCATATTATAAAATTGCATACCTGAATGTAATAAATGCTTTCAGGTACAGCTGGCATCACAGCCAGTATGGTATAGTGGTTTGAGTATTCGACCATAACTCTGGAGATCAGGGTTCGATCCCCACTTGGCCATGGAAACCCACCATGCAACGCTGGGCATGTCACACACTCTGAGCTCTCAGAAAACCCTGTGATAGACACTTAGGGTTTAAAAAGAAGATCAGCCTTTGCTTTATAGACTATAGCAAAGCATTTGATTGTATAGACCAGGGGTAGGCAACCTGTCCCCTTTAAGGGCAGAATCCCAGGAGCTACTGGCCAACATGGCACTATTGGCCAACATGGCTGAGGCTTCTGAGAGCTGAAGTCCCTTGGCCCTTAAAGGGGAAAGGTTGCCTACCCCTGTTATAGACCATGAGAAATTATAGATTGCTCTTAAAGAAATGGGTGTGCCACAACATCTGATAGTCCTGATCACTTGTATTCAGCACAAGAGGCTACTGTTAGGACAGAATATGGAGAAACAGAATGGTTCCAGATTGGAAAGGGGGTTATGCAAGGCTGCATTCTATCCCCTTATCTATTTAATTTGTATGCTGAGATCATCATATGAAAAGCAGAATTGGACGCAGAGCAGGGAAGTGTAAAAATGGGAAGAAAGATATGGACAACACCAAAATACTAGCAGAAAATATCAGAGATATGGAAAGATTATTGAAGAAGATCAATGCAGAAAGTGAAAAGGCAGGCTTACAGCTGAACATCAAAAAACAAAAAACAAAAATTATGACCATAAACAATCTACTTAATTTTAAAGTAGATAACAAAGAGACAGAAATAATCCATGATTTTCCATACTTGGGCTCAGTCATCAATCAGAGTGGAGAATGTAGTCAAGAAATCAGAAGACTAGGACTTGGAAGGACAGCTATGAAGGAACTAGACAAGATC